TCGCACAGATGTTGAAACATAACAGAGTCATTCTCCAAGAGGGAATACTGGGGAAGCCGCACGATGGTGGCGGAAGAGTTCAGGTTTGATTACGTTGAGTTAACGGAGTCTGTGAGATGGGACATATGTGGGGAGAAGTCAGGTAGGCTGTTGTATAACATGTCTAAAGCTCAGGGACAAGTGTGGGCAAGTGCAAACGTGGAAGGCAGAGGATATACAAGATGACTGGAGCAGGAGCGAGCTAAAGGGAGTGTGTCAACAAAAACGTGGGGCGGAGGGCAGACCCTCCACACACCAGCACTTCAAGGACCCTCTGGGAAGAAGGGTCAAGTGAAGAAGCATGGGTAACACCATGCCACCCGACAGTTAACAAACTCCATGGGCATGCATGCCAGTGTTGCCAGATGTCCACCTTTCTCCCCTCCCCTCCTGCTTTGTTTCCGTAAACTGAATCTCGGCCATTGGAAGGGCATCCCAGTATATGTTCTCTTCACAGGACCCGGGCTTTGTAGGCCTTCTGAAAGGGTCAGGAGTGGAGGGTACAGGGCGCCATCTCCTTCCAGCTCCTTTAATGGAACTTTGCTGTCAAAGTCCCCAGTCTGCTCCATAGAAGTTATCTGTCTAGGTTGAGGTTATCACAGATATAACTACTTCATGATGGCAAATTTATCTCAAAGGTATGCAGAGCAGTTGCCATGAGCAACACAGAAAATGAGGCCCTGAACTGAAATGAATGTTTGGAATGAAACTTTCTGGCTGTGCGCAAGAAGCCGTTGTCAAGCTCTGCTTGCCTGCTGAGACTGGGCCATGTGCATAGTGTGTGCTTTGACCTGGGTCTGAGGTGGTCTCAGAAGAGGGTACATATGTTGGCACTGATCCCAGAAGGCATGGGTTTTGGATTTTGTTTTTCCATTTTCTGACAGATGATTTGTCAGTGGCTAATGGGTCCCCACTCCCTGTGTTTGGGACTCTGGTCAGATTGCTGTGCCTTACTGATGGGAGTGCAGAGGAGCCGTCAGATACTTGCTTGAATCAGTGATCAACGGATTCCCTTCTCTGCCCTCACTGATCCTTATTAACCCAGACAAGCACCTGATTTCCCCTCAAGCCTCTGTTTTTGCAACAGTACATTATTCACGTGGGTGGGGATGTCCCCACCAGCCAGCTGGCTGCTGCTCTTGATGCCCCTCTGACTCCTTGGAGAAATAGCTCGGGCAGGCGGGTCTGGGAGTTGTCAGGTAGGTGAGGGTCCCAGCGCCCAGGGTGGGCTTCTCATCTTGCTCGTGCTCTTCACATGAAGAGTTCCCTTTACATGAATTTGGCATTGCCACCTTTGTGGAACCAACCAAAAACTTTCCCAGAAAGAGGCTCTGTGGTGTATTTGACTAGAAGATTCAACCTGGTTTTGTTCTCCTGCTGCAGTTCACCAGGAAATGGCCCCCGGATGTCGATGCTGCGGCTCCCTCTAGTGTCCCAGAGCTCAGGCTCACGGAGCATTTTCCTTCCTTTCAAAAAATGTAGACTGCACAGAATCTGCCAAAACTGGCAGCTTTTTAAGTAGGTTTTCCCAAACAAAGCCAAAACAGTAGGAGGTGATTTTTCTCTCATTAGAAAAGGGAATCTTACATGAAGACATGGGACCATTCCAGCTTGGGTTTTATTTCTGTTTTAAAATATGGGAGAGCCTAGGAGTCCTGTAATAATCATTCCTCTTGGGGAGGGGAATCTTTCTTGAGATTCTTCGGGTTTCTGCCAGCTACCCTTTGTAAAGAAGGAATTTAATTCCCTTCAAAAAAGAGAAATGAAAATGAGAGCCAAGGAAAAGTTACTTTGATCCTTGGTAGAGAAAATATTGGGAAAGGCGAGAAGGAGAAAAGAAAAAAACTGGAAGAACCCCATTCATTTGATGTGAAAAGAGTAGCTTGTTTTCTGAAATAACTTTTAGATAGAAATTTATCATCTGAAGTCAGCTCATTTTGAGTTTTTAAAAAAACTAAAGGAGTCAAGTTATTAATATTTGAAAAATGGTTACTATGTGGTACATAGAATAATATAACACTCCTATTAAATTAACATCATACCAACTTCATAATAAAGATTTATGTGATACCTATCATGTGAAATACTATTATGGAAATCTCCAGAGGTCTGTGTTTGGGTTGTAACTCTTATCATGGCTATAAACCAATTAGAATCTCTCTTTTTCTCCTCTTTTATACTCTAGTCTTCTCCTTTTTGCCTTTGCCTTTAAAACTAGAGTGACCCATTATTCTTCAGCCTGTCTGTGTATCGTAAAATGAAGAGATAAGGCAGTGCTGCCCACTCAGGTTGGCTATCTCTGCAGACCATTTTCCTTCAGAGCATCCAACATGGCGGAACGATTTATCATTTCTTCTTCGTAAATCACTTTGATCCTTTATCTCAAGTCGATCTGTGAAGCTAAACATAAATTCTTGTTGTAGTAACCATGGTCTTATCTATTCACAAAGCTCTGGAGGAACTCATAAAAATGTGTGTGTCTGTGTCTGTGTGTGTAGATACAATTAGAATGTCACAATTAGACTGGTTGTCACAATTAAAATATCTTCTCTGCTTCTGATGTTAACCTACAAGGTGGCTTGGTGTAGGAAACACTACGTACTTGGCCAAACAGTTCTTTCTCCTCACCTTAGCTTGTCCTATCTTAGATCAGAGCATACTGCTGGTCTTGACTTGTTTGTCAGGGCTGACCCTGGCTTGGAGGTATTGAATGCTAGCAGGCCCTCTTTACTGTCCTCTATCACGCCATGATCAGAGAGCCCCACTGCTATGGCAGGGGGCTGTTGTGACTCAAAGAATATTTTTCTGCCTTGCTCTTTGTTTGAAAAAACATCAGGGTTCCATAAAGTTGCATCACTTTTAACATCTGCAAGTTGTTAACTGTTTTAATAATTATTAATATTACATTTGTACAACTTTTGGAGTTTACAGATGTACTCTACATACTTGATCCCATTTAAGCATCACAACTGCCCTGTGAAGTAGGTTTCAGTATTCTTTATATCGTTTCCTGGAGTCTGAGACCCAGAGAAATTAATGAAATGTCCAAGGTTACACAGCTAGTGGCAAGGCTAAATACCAAACATCCTAAGTCCTTGGTGGGTGTCCTTTCTACAGCGTGACATCTACAGTTTAGCTATCCAATCTCATTTCTGAGCTATCATTAATGAGCTATCCAGTCTCATTAATATTGGTGGTGTTTGACAGACTTTTTAAAGACTGAGGAGTTGGAACCCTTGAACTTTCATTCCAGTGGGCAATGTGATATTGAGCAAATTATCAAAACTGGCAGTGAGGACAGTGTTGCCATGTGCTAGAGCCAACTCCTGTACAACTAAATGATGACTAGTGTAGGATTTTTAAATACCTGGTGACACATAAATATGAAATACTGCCAACAGTACAGTATAGAAAGAATACATGTTGTGATTGATGAGCATATAGGGTTATATATTACTGCATATACAGAGCTTTCCAAAGGTAATATTTTCTGAAAGATAGACGCTTGAACTTGAACTGGGGACATCTGTTTCAAGAACAGAAGTTTGCTTAGAAAAGAAACAGTGCGCCCTCAAACTGATTCTTGAAGGAATTTGTGTTTGGAGATGATAGATAGATAGATAGACAGACAGACAGATAGACAGAGATAGAGTCCATGACACTGATCACTGATATCATGTCTCTTTAACTTTAATGTAAACAGAGGGGGGGGGGCTTTTCTCCCCCTGACACTCCCTTGCTGTTGGTCTTTTTTTTTTTTTTTTGTAATCTATTTGAATGTAAATTAGAACATGCTGCTTCTCAGAACAGGGGAGCCATCTGCATCCTCCTAAGAAAGTCTACATTTTTCTTTTTAAATAGAAATGACTAGAAAATGCTTTTTTACAATTTATTTCTTTTCCATATTACTGTAATAAGCAGGTAGTGTAAACACTACAGAGAGCGCTTGTTGCTGGGAGCTTTGATACCTGCAAAGCAGGGCAGTATGCTCCTGTTGAGGAGGGAAAGCAGAGAATGTGTTCCTCAGTTGGCAGCCATGGGTGTTGTGATCACAGACCAGGATGTTGTGATCTGTGAACTAGTGGCAGAGACAGAGTCTTCCATTGTCAGCCTCTCTAGAGCGTGAGCATACCCCATTTGGGATGATCTTACTTCCTTTTTGCTTTTATAACCCTTTAAGACTAGAAATAGTTGTTACCCTATGTAGACCCCTTGGCTAATGTTTTTGGTCAAAAAACTCTTTCTTGATCCATAACCACTTTAGAAAGTTCTTTGTGAAAGACCTTATTGCCCGAATATTAGGCAGTAAATGAGGTCTGTTAAGAGAAACCAAGGATTCTCTCAACCTTTTATCCCCTACTCTGCTGATGAACTGAGAGTGCAGAATTGTGACCATCACAGTGACAGTCATTAAAAAGTTAGGAAAACCTACAGTTTACCTGGTCAATGTATGTCACTGTCCTGACCAATAAGAAGTTGACACTAAAGGTGATGGGTGATGAAATAAGGTATTCTGGCCTGCATCAGAGCCCATTGGCCTGCTGTGTAAGGCTGGGCTGTAACCTCTATGGAAAGTAGGTGGAAAATTATTTTTTTGTTGTCTCTTCTAGTTGCAGTACAGGGTGTAGTGGAAAGAGCATGTTGGCATTAGACAGGTTTGTGAACTGATATCCCTGGGTTCTTTTTCATTTTTTAATTCTTAGATCCTCAGCCTACTGTGAAGGACTAGTTAAAAGGACTAGAGATGGCATACATAAAGTGCTCAGCACAGCCTGGCGTGTAGACGGCCATGAGAAATAGTCACTACCACTATTACTTCTTTTGTGCGTGGCTGCCAGACCTCTCTAAAGACTTCACCCTATGGTTGTTGTTGCTAACCAGTCACCTTCCACGCATCCTCCTTGGTGCGCCATAAGCCTGGTTACGAAAGTGTGAGTGTCATGTTTGCTTTCTCCTTTCAGATCTGCAAGAGCAAGGCTAAAGAGTCTCAGCAGTACTATCACAGCTTGGCTGTCCGGCAGAGCCTGGCTGTCCATTTTAACATCCAGCAGGACTGTGGTCATTTCCTTGCCGAAGTTCCAAGCCGCCTGCTTCCCTGGGAGGATCCTGATGCTTCTGAAAAAGAAGAAGATGAAATGGAAGAGAATGAAGAAGAAGCAAAAGGAGAAACTGACGGGAAAAGCCCAGAGCCCTGCTCTGAAATGGAGTCATCCCAGAAAGAAAGACAAGGGGTCCTGAGCAAGAAGAAACAGAGAAGCCATGTTGTGGTCATCACCAGGGAGGTCCCCTGCCTCACTGTGGCTGATTTTGTGCGAGATTCTCTGGCCCAGCATGGGAAAACCCCCGACCTATATGAGAGGCAGGTGTGCCTGCTGCTCCTACAGCTGTGCTCTGGCCTGGAGCACCTCAAGCCCTACCATGTCACGCACTGTGACCTTCGCCTGGAAAACCTGCTGCTTGTCCACTACCAGCCTGGAGGAACTGCCCGAGGCCTCGGGCCTCTGGAGCCCAGCCCCACCTCATCTTGTCCCACAAGGCTCATAGTGAGCAACTTCTCTCAAGCCAAGCAGAAGAGCCACCTGGTAGACCCCGAGATCCTCCGGGACCAGTCCCGCCTTGCCCCAGAGATCATAACAGCCACCCAGTATAAAAAGTGTGATGAGTTCCAGACTGGCATCCTCATCTATGAGATGCTGCACCTGCCCAACCCCTTTGATGAGAACCCAGAGCTGAAGGAGAGGGAGTACACACGCGCAGACCTGCCCCGCATTCCGCTCCGCTCCCCCTACTCCCGGGGCCTGCAGCAGCTGGCCAGCTGCCTCCTGAACCCCAACCCTTCTGAGCGGATCCTCATCTCAGACGCCAAAGGCATCCTCCAGTGTCTGCTCTGGGGCCCCCGTGAAGATCTCCTCCAGACTTTCACTGCCTCCCCCAGCCTGGTGCAGAGGAACCTCCTTCTCCAGAACTGGCTGGACATCAAGCGCACACTGCTGATGATCAAGTTTGCCGAGAAGTCCCTGGACAGGGAGGGCGGCATCAGCCTCGAGGACTGGCTCTGTGCTCAGTATTTGGCTTTTGCCACCACAGATTCCCTTGGTTGTATTGTGAAGATCCTGCAACACCGTTAGTGTGTCCTGGCTGCTGCTTCTCCTAAGCGTCCACCTTCTTCATGTCACCCACATACTTCCCCTTCCTAGAATTCAAGGTAAGAAGAGAGACAGACCTTCCGTCCCTGGCCACGAACAAGTGAGTTCATTCAGAGGGGCTCTCCACAGCACCAGCTCACATGAGAAGCTGAGTCTATCTTTATAGAAATTCGGCTGCACAAACATGCAGTTGCCTTCCTTTGAAATATCTTTCATCCTAACAGCCCCAAAGATGCAGATAAAAAGTGAAAGTGCACATCCTTGAAGGGACTGAACTCAGTGAGCCAGTGAGCTGTGTCCAGTTCCTCCATAATTCTGAATATCACCTGTCTTTTCAGCACCAAGTATTTATTCTCCTAGCAATAGGCAGACTTAGCCAATCTCCACCATGACCCAGTAAGCTCTCACAAGACTCTTCCTTTCAGGTATCAATAACTGACTCTGACCAGGCAGAACTGCCATCCTTAGCATCAGCACGGTTTTGGTTACCAGGACTGTACCCTTTGTTCCAGCAAATAGTAGGAATGAAAGGACAGCTCCCACCCCTGGGTCATGGGCTGGTCTCTGTTATCTATCTCTAAGTGTGTGCACGGCATGGAGGACAACCCTAACCCCTCTGCTGCTGCTACCCGAGTCTCCTTCACCTCTCTTCTCTTCCCACTTGCCAGTGAGGTTTGGATTTATCAGCCACTTGTGGCCCATTACAGAGCTGACCCACGGTGGTGTCACCAGCGCTTCAGCAGGAGAAAGTGCGTTTCAGAGATTATAAATAGCCGGCAGGACAAGAGGAGATGATTTTCTTGCATGTGCAATTCTCTAGAGGCCATCAGGGAACAGAGTTTAAAGTACCCGTTGATGACTGTCAGAACTGTCAGCATGGGCAGCCAGGGCCAGCGGGGCCCACATCCCAGCTTTCCCCTGGGCAGTCATGGCCAGCTCCCTCTGTCGGTTGCCAGTGTTAACTAGTCTACCCAATGCTGTAAACATTCACCCTGAGTGAAACAGCTGTCCGGGCAGCGCCGAGACCTCCTCAGGGGCACAGGGAGGCAGGCAGTGGGGATGAGCAGGAGGCAGGGGAGGGGAAGAAGGCCACTGACGAGACTGCTGACCACCTCAGAATGTCAGCCTCTGCGGAGAGCCAGCCTCCCGGTATGCGTGGCTCCTTGCTCCTGATGGCTCTCGAGATGGCTCTGGGGGACAGCTCATGGGAATTCTCGTTGCTGAGGGTGACTGCGAGCTAGTCACCATGTGTGGAGCCTGTGCCCTTCTCCTATGGATATATGTGCAATGTTTGTATGTTTTTAGCTGTATATTACAGTGTTTATGTTGCAACTTCACCAGAAGCGAGACCTACAGAAACCCTCCTCTCCCTCCCTTGGCACATATTTGCGCTGAGAGATGAGTGTTCCTTCTTTTGGGGTGTGTGTGCGTGCATGTGTATGCACGTGTGCTTGTTTTATTCAAAACTGTGAGTATCTGTTTACTTCAACCTTGAAATCCCAAGAGTCACTCGAACAGTATGAGTTGTGTGCCCGTTGTGTGTGTGCACACGCATCCTGGTAGTAGAGGCCAGGCCTTGGGGGAGCAGCCCTGGCAGGGTTGACAGGCATGTCATCTCTGCACCTGACGGCAAGGGAGCCCTGAGACCCCTCATGTGCCAGTGCAGAGTTTCCTTAAAGCCAAGACTGATTGTGCAGTGTTACTTAGGTAGCACGTTAGTGGCCTTGGAAATTTCTAAATGTTTGACATTTTTACCAGCCTTTCATGTGATTCACCTGTATCAAAGAGGATCAGGAAAGAAGAATGTATTTTATTGTGCTCTTATTATTATTTTCTAAGAGAATGGAATGTCTGAGGCTCTGGATAGAGGATGTCCTTGTCCCCCGGCCAGCAGCAGAGGCCTCCAGGAAGGAGGGCTGCTTGGCCACAAAGAGTCTTGCCCCCCTAGCCAGAGTGCAGGGCTTTGCCCCAGGAATGGCCCTCGCTCAGGTTCCTGCAGTGTGGCTGTGCCTTCCTAGTAGGCTGGTGTTTGGCTCTTCTTGGCGTGGCCCCTGTGCACATGACTCCTACCCGGTATGCACTGAGGAGGCAGCACACAGACCACTGACACGCCAGCCAGCACCTCCCCTGACCCCCAGTGGTTTGCGTATTGAGATGCACCTTCTCAATGCCATGCTTGTGGTGCCTTGCCCGTGTAAATTTGAAGGTTGACTATTTAATGAGGTTGCGTATTTAATGCAGACTGTTCCCTGGTCCCTGTTTGTTGTGTCTCCAGGCATCTCTTTTTCTGTTGTGACTTGGGTCCAGTTTTTGACCCTGTAGCATAATAAGCACGGACACCTCCATTGCCATTACCTTCTAGCACGGGCAGACCGAGCACCTCCGCGCATTAGGTGTGTTTAGCACTGTTTTGTGCTCAGAACCGTAAGGGCCCAGGAGGGACGCCAACTAGGCAGAGCAAGGCCGGGCTTCCCAGAGAAGAGTGGCTGGATCAACCCTTCTCTGAGTGGCGTCCGAGGAGTGTGAGGCGGGAGGGAGGGGGCGCTCCCCGTTAGAGCAGCACGGAGGAAGAGCCGTATTTCTAGGCAAGGAGCTCTAGATCAGATGGCCCCCCATATCCTTTCAAAACCATGAAATTCCGTCTGTCTAACATTACCGCATAGATTATGCTTTCGTTTCCACTGTGGCAGGAGCCTTGAGTTTATTCATCAACTGGAAAGAAACTCTGTCCTCTGGAGACACAGAGACACACACACTTTGGAGACATACACGAGTTTTGGATTGTGACTAGTATAGCACTTTAAGTTTTCTCAAGTAACAGCAAGTTATTGCCTTCAATACTGATTGGAAACCATTTTATTTTCTATCGAAGTCTACATTACAGATTTCACCATGTATTTTAAGAGTTGGAACAATGAAGCTCTTACTGGGACTTCTCCTTGAGCCCCACGAGCATGGACAATCTCTGTGACACTTACGGGTGCCAGAGACACACGACCGCAGCTGGAATGGCCAGGAGCAAGACTGAATGTATAGCAGAGTGCCTTGTAGAGTGGGGACCTGGCCTCAGAAGGAAGAGACTCCCTGGATGTGCCACAGAGGACCAGGCTTCCAGATGCCTCCCAGCCGGCTGAGGAGAGTCCTCTTGGTACTGTACACTGATGTGATGCCCAGAAGCAAATTCCTAAGGAAGAACAACAGCAAGAGGAAAGGAACAGCTGTGACCCATGGAACGTCAGAATCGTTAATGAGGCCCACCAGCCCCTAGGCTGAGCTAGAAGGAGGAGCCAGGAAGATGCCAGTGAGTTTCGAGATTTGCCCTCAGCAGCTGAACAGGAGGGGAGCACCCGCCCCCCCCAAACGGCTGATGCTGAGGGGCGCAGAGTCAAACGTGTGCTAGGATTTCAACAACTGGAATAGCCTCCCATTGTCAGAGTAAGCAGGGGCCAGTTTTGCTTCCAAATTCAGAGTAAGTTTTTGAACAGGGAAACCTCTAAGCGAAGAGATCTAAACCTCTAGAAATATAAATGACATTTCTGGGAGTAAAACACCTAAAATTGTATTTGAACGTTCCTGGATTATGAAAGTCCCACGACAGGTCTTTGGGGGCCTGTTAAGCAGAGGGCATAGAAAGATTGCACCCAGCTTCCTGAACTTGAGTTCTTAATACTTTATTGCCGGGAAGTGACCTGACATTTGGTTTTGCTGGCAACTGCAGTTGGGATTTTTCCCTAGATTGTATCAGCAGTGATCTGAAAAAATACAGGCTATTCCCAGAAATTGGGATGGATTTAGGATACCGTACTACATTTCAAAGGACTCTAAATGTGTAAATAAAGCGTGAACGTAATGGAGGGGGCTGGAGGAACTTGACTCCCTGGGCTGACTCTTGGCGTGTTTTCCATTCCCCTCGCTGGTTGATGAGGATTGAAATTTCTGGTCCAGCCTAATGAGTGAGCAGGATGGCTGCCCACGAAACCAGGTTATTAGTTTTACCTCATTGAAGCCAGTATTCTCCAAGGCCCGAAGTGTTGTGCCGAGACAAGCCAAGTGCTGCTCTTGCTGAAGTCTGCTCTGACATCCAGCTGTGAGCGCCCGCAGCAACACCGAAAGTGGGGGTGCCACGGGCCAAGAGCAATGCCACAGGGAAGCCAGAAGAGCTGCAGTGCAGGATCCTGGGAGAAGTGATACCAAAGAAATTGAGCCTTTCATCCCGACACTTCTCAGACAAGGGTGAGTCGTGACAGACGTCGTGGGAAGGGAGTTCACATACATTCCATGTCAGGGTATTCGGCTGATAAGACCATCCTCAAAAAAGCACCTTTTTTTTTTTAACGAAGTCTATTTTGTATGTTAGAAGAAAAACAAGAAGAAGATGATGGTGATGATGATGAAAGCCCTGAGCAGATATAAAGTTCCCCGGTATTTATGGAGAAAGAATTCTTCCACCTCCCCTTGATGTGGCTGTGGCTGTGGCTGTGGCTGTGGCTGAACTCCAGCCTGGGGACATCGCATCCATAAGATATTGAGGGCAAAGGATTTTGTTTTTAATTAAAGAGATATGGTAGTTTTCATAGGTTTGTTGAAAGAACTCAAGAGCTCTTGGGAGATTTCTTAACAAATCATAATCGTTTTTATAAACATTCTTACAAAGGTGTTTACCATCCATCACCATCATTTAATATCTACAAGTGCCCAGAACGTTCAAGGTGCTATCCAGCTGTTAAACACCCCTCCCTGCAGCTGTTGAAAATTAGAGTAGCATCGCCCACTGCTAGAAGCTTCCCCCGCCCGGGCAGGCCGCAGGGGCCGCTTTCCGAGCATCCCACTCCACTTCCCGCTCCGTGTTTATTCCAGTTTCTCATCTTTATCCATCTCGTCCACCCCCATGTTTTCTTTTAAATCAAGAAAGTTTCAGGGAATCAAAAGAGGTCGGGAATTTTTTAACCTAGCAGAAGTACAGAGTCATATATTTTGCTATGAATATTATTGTAGTACAGAAAATCCACTTTGCCTGTTCGTGTGTGGATAGTATGTGTGTGTCTGCACTCGTGATAACTTGAATGTTGAACCAGCCCTATGGTTTCAGGGTAGCATTTTTGAAAGGTTAAACCACGTGCTTCAGAAACTTGCTCCAGATACGACTTGGTTGTCCCTTCCCTTACCAGTGTTAAAGAGTGTTACGTGTGGCGTGAACACACTGGGTTGGGATTTTCTCTTGATGACAGGCAGGGTGTTTTGGTGTGAGGTCAAGGCAGAAACAAGATGTCGTCCTACTTGGTGGTTTGAATCATG